TCAAAATATGGCCTCAGCCTTCACACATGACTGAGGTTCAGCTCTTCTGTGGTGCTTGGAATTCTAGATAATTGGTTTAAAAACCAATAGTGCTAAATTGATGGCTGAAGGTTTAATTGTTAATATAACTTATTTTTTTATTTGACAGTGTAAAAAAATTGTAACCCTAACATGTTTAAGTGTGATATATCTGTAAATGCTAGGGACACAAAAATGGACGTTTCTGCAGAATGACCCGTATAAGAAAAGAAAAATAAAGTTGTATTTAAAAAAGTTGATTTGATTTTTTTCCTGTGGGTCGCTGTGCTTTGTAGTTATACACAGGCGGGTCTTGGGCTGGAAAAGGTTGAGGACCCCTGGTCCCGGCAATCTACTCTGGATAATATTTCCTTAAACCTCATAATAAAGGCCTGCAATGTAACACCTTCACAACTACTTCTTTTTCCTCAGTCACATGGTACAGGTGTGTGTTTCATGCTTCTGTAGTGTTGGGCTTTGATCTCCTCTGTAATCTTCAGGAGATGATCAGATGATCATGACCTGCTCTGAGCCGGTACATAATGGAAACCTTGATCTCCTGCTTGCTAATGCATGAGGGTGCGTTACACTTTTGGAGATGTTTTGAACTGGCACTGTTACAGCCAGCGCCTGAACATTCCTGTGGAGGGTAAACCAAAACCTGGGTGTCTGAGTTTGTTTGTTTGTTTGTTTGTGTGTGTGTGTGTGTGTGTGTGTGTGTGTGTGTGTGTGTGTGTGTGTTTGTTTGGACCTTTGAGCGAGCATGCTGCCACCCCCACCCGACAGTTTTCATTAATTACCTGGAAGCATGGTTTAGTGGGCTGGAAGAGATGGTGTCTTGATTTTCAGTTAGGGGTTGTGTTCGATTGAAGAGGACACCGTTACGTGGTGAAGACTGACAAGGTCAGCCGCCAGCATTGGGGTATTTAGCGAGGCAGAGCTCATGGAAAAAAAAATTCTGAAATTTCTGCAGCCGTCGAGCTCAGAGACGCAGTACGACACTTCTTTTAGAAATTTTAGCACTGATTTGTAGTGCTGAGCGATATTCATAACATTTTTCTAAATGTATAATGGAGTCTTACAAACCTGATAGAGCTTCTATTTGAAAACATTTTTAGAAGATAAATTGTGAGTTTATTTAATTTTTCTAGATTTTGAACTGTTCTTTATAGCCACGTTCACATTACAAGCCTCGTTGTTCAAATCGTTTTTTTGGCTCGGATCCGATCTCTCGGACACGATGGTTCACACTCGTTTAGGTAAGTGATTCAAATCTGTCATTAATGTGACGAACCGGCGCCCTGAAATGACCCTCATGAGCTCATCCTACTCAGTAACGTCACATGAACGAATCACGTTCATCATCAGCACAAACTAACGAGCAGAACGAGCTTCGCTGAGAAGATCATTAACTCTGATCAGCTCTCAGCTTCATTATTAGAGCGAGACGAAGGAGAAAAAGGTGCAGTGTATCAATATCACCGAAAACTGTTATAATGGTATCCCAGTATGAGGATATATCGCCCAACACTAGCAATAACTCAGTTATTACTCAGTTGTTAGTGTAATTTTATGACTTATAATACTGAAGTTTATCCAAGTTATACGTTTGACCCTTAGATATCTAGGATTATCATTTAGCTGTTCCTTTGATTTAAATGAGTTATTTAAATGTAATTACATTATATGAGATACAAAACTTCATTTACTTGGCAAGCCTGTGTGTGTGTACTGTGCTGTTTCATCAAATTCAAATAATACAGTCCTTTGTAAACATGTTAGAAAACCTTTGTTTTGGGTTTGCTTAAATGTTTAAAAATGGAAAAAATATTCTTTCCACAAAGCAAGACTGTTGTACACACAACAGTAACTTTTTGCTAAAGAATAATAATAATAATAGTAGTAGTAATAATAATAAAAATAATAATAATAAATTATCCCCTCTTCTACTTACAAACACAGATGTGGTAAAGATTGAGAGGTTAGAATCTGCACTTTCCATAGTTTCTCCAACTTGTTTTAATAAGCTATGAATGAAAGAAAATTAAAGTTAAATAGCAGCATGCTTTCATAGTTGCTGTTGGTAACTGACTCAAACACTGTTTGGATGGGATTAGTGGTGAGTGTTGTCAGTTCACCTCAGGACGTGTAATATTTATGACTCGCTCACACAGGATAAGAAATCTCAGTATAAATGACAGATGAAAGCAGCTACTCGACGTACTCACTTTGTTTACCTCAGAAAAGAGTAAATACGCCAGAATATTTCATTTAGCCGTTATTCTGTTTTCTCTAATCATCTGTCTTGCTGATTTAAGTGAATGCACTCAGCCAGCAGACATCACCACCACATACAGTCAGCCTTTTTTCTGTAGTTTTGATGTTTTAATGCACTGAGTTGTAAACTTGAGTTAGGACAGTACAGACTGGCCTGATTTTAACTTGAACACTTGATTTAAAAGAACACGTAAATGTTTCTTCGAGTCCCTCCGTACCTTTCAGCAGCATTTTTACCTACATGTTGATTCGCATAGGATTAATATTACCTGGGGTTATTTCTGCAGCTTGTTTTATTGAAGGTAAAAGGTGCTGGAATCTTTACTGATGTGGAAGTGGGCACTGTGTAAAGATGACCAGACGGCTGGACTACTGCATTGTTTTTTTGTTTACTGGCCTCCCTGTCAAAACCCTCACTAGGTCACAGTATGTCCAAAATGCTGCTGCTAGGATCGTCTCCTTTTCAAAAAGGAATGACCACATCACCCCGGTCCTTCAGAGTCTTCACTGGTTGCCCATTACATTCCGTGTTCAGTACAAGGTTCTCCTTATTACGTATAAAGCTTTGCATGGTCGGGCTCTTCAGTACTTGGCAGAGCTTCTTCATCTAAATGTCCCATCCCAAAATTTAGGCCTTCTTCATGTTCCAAGGTTTAAAATGACTTCTATGGGTGGTCGATCATTTAATGTAGCAGCTCCCAAATTATGAAAATCCCTCCCCAAGTTTATTCGGGATGCAACCTCTCTGTCTTCATTTAAGTCTCTGTTGAAGACTTATTTTTGTTATCGTTGTTCCATTTATACTTGAATGTTTACCTGTATTGTCCTCTTGTTTAATGTGTTGATGTTCTTTGATTGTAAAGCGTCCTTGACCATGGAAAGGCGCTATATAAATAAAACGTGATGATGAAGATGATGAAGGTGACTGACATTACGAGAAACGACATTACCCCACGTCCTCATGTAAATCTAGTCCTGTCCGAATGTGGCTTTATTAAGGGTTCGTGTGGTGGATTTGATTCTATGTGAGTGTCGTGCCTAGAAAACCTAAACCTTGTAACTATAGTAGGTATAGTATCTCACGTATCAGTCACCTCGCGTGTGGAGACTCTAGTGCTGTATGGAGCCACACAAAGAGTGCAGATGCACGACTGTCACCTCGGGTTCTTTCTATTAAGGCTGCAGTTTTATCAGGGTGACACAAGCTAGCGACAGATCTTCTGTCTTGCTGTAAAAGTGATTATTAGCTGTCTGTGTGAGTGGGTGCACGTCTCTGTCAGACACCGCGTTACCAAACACAATTTCATGGCTCATCAGCTGTCATTAGGTCAGTATTAGGAGGGCGCTGTGAACGACAATAAAAACCTCTGGCTGTCTGGCTGAGCACAAACCACCGGCGGAGGTTTCATCATTATCCTCGTTATTATCATCATCTGTGTTCTTCAGGTAGGGCCAAAGTGATGGACCAGTTATTGGAGGCGTGTCTCGTAGTAAATGCTTCTTCTGGAAAGAAATGAAGATGTGTTGTTCTTCGAGAACCTTTTTACTTACATTGGTTGTAATCAGTGGTTACTGATGTACCACCTGCTTCCTCGCTGATGGATTCTTTGATGTGTGATCTGTCATGAAGGCGAAGGGAGGAAAACCATGTTTTTCTTCTCGATGTGCAAATGAAGTGTTGACTTCAGTGATCATGGCGTTTGTGAGCACATGACCATCATTTTCACTGTCTGTGTTTATATTTGTTGTCCTTGTAACGAATCCATGGAGGAGTCTTGTGTCCAGTAAATTTCATCAGTGTCTGACGCCCAATCACATTTCCTGTTTTTACCCCTACCCCTTGTTTGAGTGTCTCCTTGCCCCTTGGAACTGAGTTACAGGGGTAGTGGTTGAAATCTTCCCTCTGAAATGGGACCCTCAAATAAAAAGAGCATCACTTCATTAACAGCTACCAGCGCTGCTCTGTAGGCGACCCTGCCAGTCTGCAGTGACAGCAGAGGAGGGTAAAGTTCAGCTCCTCACTGCTGGGCTTTAGTTACATTTAGGGCATCATATGCCTTCAAAGAGGGGGGCAATTATTTATTATCACCCACCCCTAATTCTTCAGTGATATGAAGCTGAAGTCAGATATTCACCAGCTTCTCGTTTGAATTTTCCCGTTCCACCTTAAATGGTGCAGCAGTTTTGACACCTGAGGCACCAGAATGTAACTGCTGCAGCATTTAAGGTGGAACGGGATATTTAGTTAGCTAGCTACCGAGACGTTAGTCTACTACTAGCAATGTTTATGCTTGTTATGAAGAAAATGACCATAATACAGTGAAACTACATGAAACTAAGATAATATAATATTTATCGTAATTTTAACAGAGAAAATTCTCACATTTGTGGGTTTCTTTGTTCTCTTGTGCTCCATCCTTTTTTTCTTTCTTTCTCATAACTCTCTGTTTGGAGTCTCTGAAAAACCTCAGTTTGGAGGGTCATGTAGCCCCAACACTTCGCCCCTCTATCTCAATAAGAATCGGGACACCCTAGTCCTCGACGTGAGCAAAACAGAGGAGTAGGGCTAAGTGGTAGGGGCGAGGGGTGAAATGGGATTGGGCCTGAGTTTTATCTCTGTGTGTTGCCTTGTTCTGTTTTCTCCATCTCCATTTCTGTGCATGTGCTTTCATTAAATGTTGCATTGCTTTTTTTCGCAGGTGGGGAGCGCAGCTGTGGAGTACATGAACTCATCTGCATCAGAAAAGGTAAGTGGTCAGATCACAAAAAAATGACTGCCACTCTACCTGCGCTGTGTCTTTGGTCTCTGAAGTTGCTCTTGGCTGCAGATCTGAGATCAGTTTTGTGCTGCTGTTGGTGATGAGCAGCATCTGGAGGGATATTTCACAATGTAAGGTTTCTCAGTAAGACCTGTCGCAGCACAGTCCACCACGCAAATTTGACTTATGCGTCTTTGTATTCAAAAATGTGTCGCAACTCATTACACAACTAACACAAGCTGCATTCAGGAAAGTTGCAGCAAGGTGGCGTAATAGCACCGTCATTATGCTTGGGGGTGGGGTTTGGTAGGCTAGCGCTACTGGACAAATAGCGTAAATCCTGTCTGGTGTTTCTCTGCACATCCTTTACAAATTACTTATTTTAATACTTTTACACTCAGAGGAGAAGAGCACAATTTCCTTATTCAAGTAAAAGTACAAATACTCTGGTTAAAAAACCTATGACACTCTATCGCCCCCTTGAGTTCTGAGGTTTGTACAACAGTCCGTGCATTTGCATTTGTGGACTTGCGTGAGGTTTTTGTTTTGGCTTTAGTCAGATAACTTTGGCTACGTTCACATTACCAGGCTAAAGTGGCACAAATCTGATTTTTTGCCCTAATGTGACTCAGATCTGATCTTTTCAAATCCGACCTGAGCCACTTTCATATGTGGTCCTAGATCAGATACGTATCCGATTCGTGGCCATGTGACCTTAATGTGATGCTCAGATTTGAATTCATGTGCTTTTTTCTCCACTGCGCATGACCATCATTCAGCGTTACCATGGCAGCAGCGCCGAACAGAAGTTAAAGCCTGTAAACGGTGGAAAAGCAGCTCATCTCACCTTTTTCTCCTTCGTCTCGCTCTAATAATGAAGCTGAGAGCTGATCAGAGTTAATGATCTTCTCAGCGAAGCTCGTTGTGCTCGTTAGTTTGTGCTGATGATGAACGTGATTCATTCATGTGACGTTACTGAGTAGGATGAGCTCATGAGGGTCTTTCAGGACGCCGGTTCGTCACATTGATGACAGATTTGAATCACTTCCCTAAACGAGTGTGAACCATCGTGTCCGAGAGATCGGATTTGAGCAAAACATAGGATTTGAGCAATGAGGCTTGTAATGTGAACGTAGCCTTTATCTCAGTCAAGACTGTCTAGTGGGAGAAGGGTTGAGGCACACGTCTCTTACACAGTCCTCACTTTTGATTCAAGTTATCTAGTATGAAAAATCATACTTTGTGAAATACCCCAGGAGTGGATCTGCGCCTGTGAGCAACTTTCACCTGAAGCATCTGGTTGCTCCCATAATCAATGATCACTGTGTGTTTGTCCTTCTGAAACCTTCTCTGTCCTTTGTGGTGACCTTGTGTTCCTGTTTCATGATCATATTTCTTTCCTGCTTGTTAGTGTTAGAGAGAGAGAGTGTGTGTGTGTGTGTGTGTGTGTGTGTGTGTGTGTGTGTGTGTTCTCTCTCAGGACGGTGTCTTCTCTCTCTGGCTGTATTGTTCTTGCTGAAAGGGTGTCAGGCTCTGTTTGCCAGCTGCCCCTGTGTGTTGTATGTTCAGGCTGTGACTGAAAACAATTTGAAACTGAAAACTACTGTGGAGCTGCTCCTGTTCACTGTTATTTATACAGGACAGTCATGCGACAAAGCAGAAGCTGGGAAATTGGAAGTTGGAGACAATATTCGGACTGTGGTTTGATTTGACAGATCTACACTTTTCACATTCATGAGACGGTGTGTTTTTGGTATTGACCCCTGGATTTAATTAAATCTGTAATTGGCAATAAAACATTAGAATTTCAGGAAGCAGGTCTGTTATATTGTTGTTTTTTTAAATTTCTTAATTAATTATTTTTTGGCATTATAGTGGTGATTGTGCATACAGATGGATGTGCTGCTGTAACAATTAGTTTGGTTAGTTTCCATTTATGGCATTATGGAAAATTATGGGGGAAAAAAAGCAGCACAGATTTATACAAAAATGCTCTATAATGTTCATATGATCCACACAGTCACTCTGACAGACTGTAATACACTACAGGAAGTGTAGGGGGCGATATGGCTTCTACTGTTTCATTTAAAAAGCTCTATAATGTTCATATGATCCACACAGTCACTCTGACAGACTGTAATACACTACAGGAAATGTAGGGGGCGATATGGCTTCTAGTGTTTCATTTAAAAAGCCTCTATAATGTTCGTATGATCCACACAGTCACTCTGACAGACTGTAATACACTACAGGAAGTGTAGGGGGCGAGTATGGCTATCCATGTCATTCATTTAAAACAGACTGTAATACACTACAGTAGTGATCCACACAGTCATTCTGACAGACTGCTGACTGGCTACAGCTGCTAAAGGAGAACCCCACCCTGGACACTTGTGATATTTTAAACAGCTGGTATTTTAACATTATTGTTATGGCTGCATTGATTTGATTCAATTAAACTAATGTGGTGGGTCCAGCAGACCACTAAGTAACAAACACATCAACACCACACAAGGGTTAAAAGGATTGCAACCAGTGTATAACTAATTTGGACATTAAGTAATTGTAAGATTAATAATCTGTCAGAGTGCCCTGCATGTACCCATCCACCATGACTGATCTTAAGGCCAAAATCTTCTCGCGACTATCGTAAAACAGTGTCTGTCATGAAGGCAGTGTATTTATAACCATTTTGTGTAATAACTTCCTGTGAGGGAGCTCTTAACTGTCTGTGGTGCAACTAAACTAAATACTCTCAAAGCATAGTTTATGGTCAACTGTACATCCTGACTTACGGTCAGTTTTATATTCAGCTGGTGCAGCTGCCTAGTGCAGTGGAACTTCTTCAAACACCCAGCATCTCTCAGCACAGGCACTGACGTTTGTACAGCTCTGTTCTTCCTATGTTTGATTCTTTTGGTCTGAAATAAAATGCTGGAGCTCCAAAATGATCAGCAGTAAAGCAGAACAGGAGCTGAACCAACACAACAGAATGAAATTAAACCCAAAAAAAAGCAATTAGGCCCTTAATGTTAACAAAAATGGAGCTGAATAGGCAGATTAGTTTCCACACTAACGTACTTCAGTAGAAGTAGAAGTATTATTTGAAAATACTCAGGAAAGTGCAAATCCAGCAGAATTATGCTTGACTACATGGCACAGAAGAAGTGGAGCTAGTTACTACACATCTGTGTTCTGGAGTAGCTCGTACTGTGAGCCTTGCCTCCAACTGCTGGGACTGTGTGCTTTGAATGAACTCGATTCAGATGCACATAAATAAAATATATCACATCAACACAACTCTTGCCAAAAGAAGTAAACTGAAAGACGGCCATTGTGTTGATGCCATATGTTTTGTTCATGTACAGCTGGTTTACACATCTGTAAATTCACAGCACTGTTTGTTTGCTCATTGTCCTCTGTTGAGTATGAGGGCAGCAGGTTCCAGTACATCTGTAATGAAAAGTTCCTAGAATGACGATTATAATGATATGAAAATAAGAAGAATGGTGACAGTACTGATGTTTATACACCGATCAGGCATAACATTCTGACCACCTCCTTGTTTCTACGCTCATTGTCCATTTTATCAGCTCCACTTACTATATAGGTGCACTTTGTAGTTCTACAGTTACAGACTGTAGTCCATCTGTTTCTCTGATACTTTGTTAGCCCCCTTTTACCCTGTTCTTCAGTGGTCAGGACCCCCATGGACCCTCACAGAGCAAGTACTATTTGGATGGTGGATCATTCTCAGCACTGCAGTAACACTGACGTGGTGGTGGTGTGTTAGTGTGTGTTGTGCTGGTCTGAGTGGATCAGACACAGCAGTGCTGCTGGAGTTTTTAAACACTGTGTCCACTCACTGTCCACTCTATTAGACACTCCTACCTCATCAGTCCACCTTGTAGCTGTAAAGTCAGAGAGGATAGCTCATCTGCTGCTGCACAGTCTGTGTTGGTCATCCTCTAGTCCTTCATCAGTGGTCACAGGACGCTGCCCACAGAACACTGCTGGCTGGATATGTTTGGTTGGTGGACTATTCTCAGTCCAGCAGCGACACTGAGGTGTTTAAAAACTCCAGCAGCTCTGGCTCTCTCATAATGTTATGCCTGATCTGTGTACGTCACCCTTTTATATAAAGAAATGTAGGTCACAGTGCTTCAGAAGGTGTGTAAATAAAACATTGAAACAGTATTAATAAAACAGCGTATGGTACAAAAAATGACAATCTATGAATACAGTCTGTTTTACAAGATCAAATACATATCAAGCATACATTACAATGCAGCTTTTCATCTTAAGTAACCTGTTTAACTTAAAATGTTGAGCTAATTGAACTTCCAGTATTAAGTGAACTGAAGACTAGTTTGTGTTTTTCATTTGATGGCTTTTATTTGAAGTTCAATGAACTCAACATTTCAAGTTTACCTGCTTAACGACTAAGTTTAAAAGCTGCACAGTTGTTTACAGTGAAGTTAATAAATAAAAAAGTTGGATTTTATATCAAAGTGTTAAAACAGAACAATATAAACAAATAAAAATTCTAATAAAGATGGTATTCTTAAATATAATCATGCAGTAATGCATATGGCCACCGGCTGCTTCGCCAGGCTTTCAGTGCTTCAGTCTGAAATGCTCAGCATTTATAGCAGATTTCCAATTTGAAGCACATTTATGAGACATTCTGAAGTTGCTAATGTCTGAAGGTGTTCCTTAATTAAGAGCTTTCAAAACCATTAAAACATCTCAAAACCACTTTTAAAGAAATAGGCAGCCAGTGAGATGGTGCACTCATTAACAGCTCTGCTGCTGCGAGTTGCTTCTGGACCGTTTCTATTGGTCTGGTTATTATGATAATGTTAACTCAATGTAAAAGGCAGCTGACATTTATAAATGTAAAATAAACTGTGAAGGAAAATGATTTTGTAATCTGACAGTAAATGTAAGCGAACTAGTACGTTACTTCAGTTACTTTCCCATCTGTA